TATTATCGTAGAGTCTGGTTTCGATCTACACGTGTGCCCCTCAGTTCTGTGCCCCTCGTCAAGAATCGTGACAGCATGTCCTGTCAGCATCTGAACTTCTTGAACCAGTAACCCGGTAGATCCGACAGCGATCTTCAACCGATCGACTGATCTAGTCGAATTATTCTATGAAAGCACATATTTCTTCAACAATCCATTACTTCTAATTTCATTCATTAAATGGTCTTACTAACTCAATCATTTTAAGAATACAAATTAATTTATACAAATATTATGGAGGTCGACTAAAAAAACTGTAGATGAAAAATTAGAAAGTCAAAATATACACGAATTAGATGAGACGATCAGAAAAGTACTTGTGGAGACAAGATTACAAGTGAAATTAGAATAATTAAAATTGTATACATTTTGTTTTCACTTGGGTTCGATGATGCATTCTCAGTTTGCTTTATTGTACATTTTTGAGATTGTTCATGCCAACCTACTACTTAATAATGAAACTATATAGAAGCTACTTAAACGATATAGAAATTTATTTTAAATGTAAATAAATATTAGAATCATCGTTTAAAGTAAACGTGAAGCAAGGAAGCGCATTTAGCTGAGTATAGTTGTGTAAATGAAACCAAATTTCTAAAGTGATAACGGAATTTTTGTTTAGATGTTTATAGTCCATATAACCACTTTTAATTCGATAAAGATCATTAGGTATAGGTTACAATTTTTGAATTTTTACATGGATGTAGTTTTAACAGAAATATGTATAGTTTGTTTTTGCGATGACAGACGGAAGTTGAAGATCCCTGTCCCATGCATGTAGAATTCTTTTATTCATTATTTCGACGTACCTCGCCCTTAAGTCGCCCTTTTGGCTTTCAGAATCGAGCTCAGACGCCGTAGTATTTCGTGAATAGATAGCACTGTTGAATTGAAATGGTGTATGGGCTCGTGGGTCTATGCATAATGAGTTCATTCAGAACGGGCAGCAGTGGTTGCCCAACGAGCGAAGTTGCTATTAGAAATAAAAGATAGAAGAAATAGAAGACTAACTGCGTGCAATTACGATGAAAGCGAAGATCTAGAAAGACGAGAATTGGAAATTTGAAAGAATGATGAAAAGTGAGAAGCTTCAAAAAATTAATAATGTTCACTGACTGATAATTCAACCCTTGGCAAGTAAATTAAATTATATATTTATAGGGCCTACTCTTCAAAAATAATCAAAATATAAGGGCTTATACATTATGCATGATCGCATTCTAAAAGATATATTCAGCCTATACCATCTATCAAAAACAATCGATCTTTCGTCTCTGATATTACTTAACCCTTTCTATGTAAATTGTAATTATTTTTAAAATGAAAGAAAAATTAGATAAATGTTTATCTAAATAGAGACAAAGCTATAAACCTGAGCTACTACAGTTGCACATTCAAACATGGACACAATTTTGTTTGAATAATAAACAACGAATAAAAACAACGCATGGCAATTTATTCGCGATATTTATTCGAGTGAATATTAAAATTTGGTACGTGTTCATCGTGAAACATTGCATTATATACTTCCAATTATAATTTTCATTCAACAAGTGGCAGACCAACAGTTATTAATTAATAATCGTTAACGTGAATATTCATTAACGACGTAAATTGATAACATTAATATTCTCGACCGTTGGTCTCCTTCAGAAATTAAAAAGAATCATTGAATCATATTGAACATTGAAAGAAATAAGAAATACACTTCTAATTTCTATTTCTTCTGGAGTAAAGATGACAAAAAAAGAAATATACATGTCGAATTGAGTAACCTCCTTCTTTTTTAAGTCGGTTAAAAATTAGTCTTTTATTTACCTCAATATTTTTAAAATAAATTTATTTACTTTCTCTTCGTTACTCTAAAGTTTAATCTAGATTAGAAATTTGTCCATGATCTCGTCCTCGCGGTCGACAAAGAGTACGTTTTTCAATGCATAATTCAGGGCCCTTATCGTTGTCTGGTCCGCTTTCTGAGATTTATTACCGTCGATCATTTTTATTGGTCGAAGATTATGACTATCTATGGGCGCGTATTAATCGACTTTATGCGCGGTCAGATTCGTGGGCTTCCCAGCTGAAATGGTAAAACTATAATCGCAGCCATAAAGGAAATTGCTAATTAACCCTGCGACAGTAAACAACTTTCCTTTATCACGCCATTGCGTACATCGATCTCGTTTCCATTACTGATGAATCGTAGAATGGATGGAAATCGTGGATACTGGGTGTACCAAATGCAATATGAATTATGCAGAAACAAATTACGGTAAATAAATAACTATTACAAGGTTATCGTGCTATGACTTGGTATATTACACATGGCTGTTTGGCCTTATCGTTCGATAAAAACTAAAATAAGATATACAAGTCTTTGTATAAATATTCTTTTTAATGATTAACTACTAGTACCCTTCAATTTACTTTATTTAAAAAAAATAAGTATTTCTGCAATTTTCAAACGTGTACAAGTATTAATTTTTAATAATTATTATTAAATATTTTATTTTGCTTTACTGGTTAATCTATCGTTAGCTATATTTTGTTTTCCATAAACATCGCGTGCGAATTGCATAAAATCTTTTCAGTAAAGGGGTTTCTCTTTCCTTGGGTCTCAATCGATCACATGATGTAGTGGTGAGGAACAGGCAAATATTTCTTCGTTACAGCAAACAACAAATATTTGTATAAAGTATTTTCTCAACTAGAAATCATTTCATCATGGATCGTAATCGGTAGATATGAAAATAATTATTTGTAAAATGAATTCTTCCAGTCCATCGATACTTGATTCTTTTTTCGAGCAACCCAATAATCAATAAATGAGAATATACTACAGATAAGGACCGAAACTTATTTGAAAAAATATTTATAGTTCCACAACAGAAGCTTGTTGATGTACAGTAAAAATAAATGAAGACCAATCACTTCAAGTCCATAGAAACAAAAATAAAAATAAACTAATATCAATTATCGAACAAAATCTCTATAAAATCTCTATAAATAATAACAATCTTTATAAAATGAATGGGTACAAATTCTTAACGTGATAAGACCTACCACTTAAACTCCACAAAAATAGAAACAAACTAATAATAAGTATCGAACAAAATCTCTATAAAATCTCCATAAGAAGTAATAACCTTTATAAAATGAATACTTTCAAATTGCTAAAATAATGAGACTCAAGCAGCGTTGTAGACAACCGTGCCATAAAAATCGAATATTGTTTTCGGTGAGATGTAAACAAGATAACGAGATGAATTCTCCCTCACGAACACGAAATATTACCCTAACGATAGTGAGGGTTCTAGGTATGTAAAGGGTCCTCTCTGTATGCACAGTCCGATTACGCGAACCATTCCTGTCCCAAGGTAATGTTTGGTCACTGTTGTCCTGAAAATAACCAGAAGAATATACTTCTTCTCACGGTGCATTCCTTCTTGAAGGCAGGTTGCGCGAACCGGTCCAATCGGGGTTGGTTATGCAAAGCAGGCACTTTTGAGCCACTCGAGGATTTTGTTAAGAATTTTCTGCCCTTTTTCGTAGCGTTTTGTGGAAACAAGGGAACACCTTGGGACCTTTCGTGACAAAGGTGCGCAATAACCACGAATGTGGGACAAATGAGAGTATCAATCGAGGGGATGGAAGAAGAACAATGGGAGAAAGCGACTTTTCTCATGATAACAAAGTGGAAACTGTTTCATGTAACTGTTTTAAGTGTTCATAAAAATTGCAAGTCGTCTGCAGAAAGAAAATTTGGCCCCATTCAGGGTTAAAATTAAATCAAAATTTGCCAGAAATTTTAAACTCGTGTACTAAATTCTAGTCACAATTTATTTCGATCTCTGTTTTTAAAGTAATTGTAGATACAAATCGATGAATATTTTTAGTACTCATTAATGCCACAATGAATTCCTTTTTAATCATGTGTACATCACTAGCAATATGTATTTCAGTTATTACTTTTTTAAATATACGTTTACAGTTTAAGCGGGAAGAGGAAAGAAGGGGCGGAGGGGTAGTGATAGCTCTATCGTTTCTAGCAAAACATAAAATTCCCTATCTCGAGGACCGAGCTCGACACTCATCCCTCGAGGTTACCTTTAATCGCAGGGTGGAAAGCCAGGTGAAACGTATCGAAGGGATGAAAGGGGGGTGCAGGGGGTGAGTTTTGTTTGTCGGACCGTTCCTTTCGATTGTTAAGCTACGGCTTTGTACGGTCTACCGACAGCTGGCCAACGTGGTGGCAAGTCGTTTCTGCAGCCAGCTTTACAATTTAACGTCAATGGGGGGTTAACTTGCATTAAAATTGCGCACGAGTCTTTATAACGACATTTTCTTTACACGTTAGATTGAAAGAAGCATTGGCACAATCACTTTTATTTTAATATTAAATATTGAAGTTCTATTTCTCGGAATTTTTATTCTTTTTTTGTTTCTTATTTTTGTTTATTATTATTAATTTTTTTTATTTTATTATTAATTAGTATTATTTGTATAACAACTTGACTACACGTCTGGTATATAGTAATTTACATAATTAGATGTATATAATTTATATTAATATAGGAATTACAAATCACATATATTAATCATATTAATATATGAATCACATATTGATTATATATATATTAATTATATTACATTAATATATATAATCACGACTACACCGACAGGCATATTTCATTATCAACATATGTTTATTATTACCTTTCATTATAATAACAGGCGCCGTAAAAAAATTCCTGAACTCCCTTTTGGAAACCCTTTATCAATCAACAACATCTCATAAGAAATATTTATTTCCGCCAACACTTAAATATACATACAACCCAATTATTTACCGTTGCATCGTTAAACGAATTGTCCATTCGCCAAATCCAGCTGAGGCGATCATAAATTGATAATCAATAGTTACCGAGCGGTTCGATTGGCTAAATAGCTAATCGAAAAATTAATGATACGCAGTAAGGAAGAAGTGCCCGAGCGACGTCAGTATTTGCCGGCACCCCATTTCGCTCTGTTGACAGTATTAATTCGAGCACGTGGCAATCGTGTTTCCACCACCGGGCCCGTCGACCATTTCCAGCATCGCCTGCGACCATAACAGCCGGCAGTACGAGAAAAGCGCGCCACGCGGAACCATCCAACCGCTAAGGTGAGCGAACGAGTATGACGCATAGTGCGCTCTGTGATAACTTCGAGTGAAATTGTGTGAAATGGAAAATGATTGTCCAGGATCCACTGTGCTTCCATGAGAGAATGTTTAGAATTATTTGTTGAACTCCATACCAATGGGAATAGTGGATTCGTAGAGTGACTTGGGAAAGGGTTGAAGATTCCAGCGCAATGTGATTTAACGTGGTAAGTACGTAGTGATGCATCAGTAGCGTTGATTATATTGTTTGGTTGATTCATGAATAATTTTCGACGTAAATAGTAAGTAATCAGGTGTTTAGGTAACTCCCTGTAGATAGCAATTTTTTATTTCTCTGCTACATGGGAAGAAGTGATAATCAACGATGATTATATAATTGATTGAGATTTATTGCGTAATAAGTAGACTGCCAATGTTTATACAAATTCATATTTTTATCGATTCGTATAAAGAATGAAAATTTAAACAAAAGTGTGTTTTATCTTCTAAACGCTATATAAGATGCATATTATTGTTGATATTTTATATATTTTTGCATTTCTGTACATTTTCTATAGATTTCCCAATATCTGCATTTGCCATAAATGCATAAACATCTCATCATAAGTCTAGTAATAAGACACCTGGAAATAAATTGTAAGTTAAAAACTGGAAGTTATTTATGAATCAACTCAATAATATAGCGTGAATGTGCTTCGTCTTGGATTTGAAAAAAGTAAATCGATTATGAATATAATTATAATTTATCTCAATTATCACGACATTTTTTTCCAGTTGATGCTTTAAATAATAATAGTTGTGGGAATAATTTGTTGTTTACCATTCTGGATAAGAGAGAATGGAGTATTTTGTGGGGGTACAGAAAATATTTTCATTTTATATTTAAATTTTTGTGGAAAATGCCAATACTCGAGTAATTGATTATAAGTTTATCAATTATCGTCACATCGAAGTGTAAACATTAGAAATAATTTTAAAAGAAATTGCAGATTTATTTATAAAATTCCACGTTAAGTTTGATATCAATAATAATTTTTACCTACCATCTGTGCGATATACTTTTCCATAATACCATTTCTCAATGTACGAACTTTTATCCTGACTTATGCTGTCGTTCAAAGGACTACGACAAAGCAAAGGGAGGAGTGCCTTAAATCATGTATGAAACTTCAATTACGTTGAGCAAACAATAGCGAGAAAAACAAAAGCAGGATGAAATGGAGCACGAATAATATGTCTTTAGCAATCATATGAATGCACGTTGTTAGGCATAGTGCAATAAACTTGTTCGATTTTACAAATCTTTTCACGTTTGGTATAATTGTTTGTAATTTTCATACTTTCGTGGGTTTTGCACTGCTAGGCCATTTCGCATACTTCAAATGTTCTATTGAAATTTCAATTTTATAGAATCAAGATAAAGTGAACGATGCAACTGTATATTTAATTCTAAAATTACACCATGGTGGGCAATTATTATTTTCTTTTATAATAATAATTCACTTAATTGAATATATTTTAACATTAAGTAAAATTAAGATGAAGGGAACGATGCATCTATATACCTCTAATTATAAAATGACACTATGATGTGTGAAAATTATTTTCTATCGTGGTAATAATTGATTAAATTGAATATTAAAATTGAATAAAATCAAGACGAAGTGTACTAAGCAACTAGAATACGTCTACAGTCAGTGTAATAAGTATTCGTACAGGAACCATTTATTTTAAATGGGGAGCTGTACGAATACTTTTTACACTGACTGTAATTTTAAAATTACACCATGGCCTATGCATATTATCTACATTTATGATAATAATTGCTTTGCGTAAGAATTTGGTCCCAACGGTGTTTTCATGCACTATTTTTACCTTCGTACGTCGCATTGCCATAGTCCACGTATCCGTATTACTCGACAAACATCAAAGAAATTTGTTCAAACTGTGGAACTTTTGACCTAGATACCCACTACTATAATATATGTATATAATTAACGTCTGGTGAATATGCTGCGGATTAGAATATTCATGAGATTTCTGTTTTCCTTGAACAATTAGAAATAGACATATTTACATATCGTTGACAGTTTTAGAAAATTTAATTTAATTTATAATAACAACAATTAAAAATGAACAATATCATATTTAACAAACAGAATTGAAAAGTTAAATAGCTTTTACTCAAGACGATTCTGCTATGTATACAGTAGATTAATTATGTAATATATAGTTATATGGTTACATAATATATATTAGGTTGTCCCAAAAGTTTCTTTCGTGAGTTGCATTCAATTGTTTTCTGTGGCAGTGTTTATATAAATAGACAATCTAATTTCTTAGACATTGATCCTGTAACAGTGATGAAGCGAAATGAATCGTACACAATTCAGTAATGTAACATAAAACATAAAATATTGTGTATATATTAATTATTAATAAAACGAAAGAAACTTTTGGGACTAAACTAATGCATAATAATATAATATGTATACATAACATATATATTAAATAATAATACAAATGATTACAATAATTACAATTATATAATTGTAATGATATAACTATGATCTATATAACTGTATATGTATACAATACAGTTAAATCATTCTCAATCGAGCAACCATGACCATTCGTCTTCGAAAGTTCTCCAAAGCATAAAGTACAATGAAAAAAGAGCGACGAGCGCTGACAACCAGTGACAGGATACGTTTCGTGCGCCGAAGGATGTGAAAATTCTCACCGTGCCCTCGAGCCACGGCGGAGGAGAGTATCATTTCGCTCGATTGCGCTCGAACGATGCTCGTCAGCCTAACAATGATCTCCAAAGAGATTAATTAATTACGATTCCTTAGCGGCAGTGGTGCTTGAGCAAACCAGATCAAACGCGAGAGCGGTGCACGGGACGGGCTACGAAACTGAAAAAAAACCAACGGGAGAGGAAGCGAGAGAGTTAAATCAAGAAGTGCCAGATAAGGAGGCCTCGTGTACGCGTTGTAAAAGGGGAGTTAGAGATCGACGGAGTTCGTCAGTCCCAGAAGAGCGCTCGTCGCGGAACCTAGTCCAGAAGAGTTCGCGACTCGCGTCCAGACTTGGGCAGAATTTTTATTCGAATAATAGGTGACGAATAAAGAAACCGTGCAGTAGTTTATTCTCAATATTTACTCGACGGAGCAATTACTGAAATGAGCTTTTATTTTTACAATACATACGTAATATATATTAGATTGCAATTTTTGTTGAACGTATATTGCATTTACATTTGATTATATTTTATTTCTTATTCGTAGTTTGGTATCTTGATGAGAATTTTGACCATCTCTGTTTTGTACTTTAGAAAATTGCTACGATATAAAAGATTTTCAATGATGTGTTTTGGTAAATAATATTAAAATTGTATATGTAGATTTAGTTCAACGTACATGGAATGAAATTTAAATTTAAATTTTTGTCGAACATATACCACATCAGCATTTGATTATATTTTATTCGTTATTAGTAGATTCTTTTCTGCTTCATCTCTGCTTTTTCGTGTACTTCAGAGGATCACTAGGATCTAAAACATTTTCAAAGATTAATTTCGGTAAACAATATTAAGATTGTATGTATAGAATTTGTTCACGAAATGAAATTCAAATTAAAATTATTATTGAACATGTATCGCGTCAACATTTGACTATATTTTGTTTATTATTCGTTGTTGGACTTCAAAATGAGAATGTCGCCCATCGCGAAGGATTTTCAAAGATAAATTCTTAAATAATTTCTAAGTAATTCTAAATTTCTAAAGAATATTGAAATTGTATGTGTAGAATTTGCCCGACAATTAGGCAGTATTATTCGCGACGAGTCTCTGAGAGTCGAAGATGGGAAGTGACAAAGTCTTCAGGGAATTGTTCTTAAAGAGATATGCAGAAGTCTGATGCATCGAAGTGTTGAGTGGGAAATTGACGAAGGTAATATTCCCAGAATTATCTTTTCGTAATATTATGAGAAAGTTTGATGATCTACAAGGAAACACGGAAGAAGGATTTAAGTGACAGGATGAAGGAGTGGTGCAATGCAATCTTATCGTGCAACTTGATTACAAATTGATCAAGTAACAAATCTCTGTGTGAAATGTCTTCAGTGGAGAAGTGGACAAGTTACGAAATTGAGTTAAAACGGGGTGATGAATAACACGACCGTTCCTTGGAAGAATTGTGAATTTTTTACGAATTTTAACATGTTATACTTTCACACTTATCTACTGTCATCGATTGCATTAACCCCTTCGTGCCTGCAGCTGGATAAAGTAATTATTTTCTCTTCTTTTTAATGCACATGGATCTATCTTGTCGCAAATATACGAAAATTGCAAGGCAGATTAGTTTAAAAATTGTATCTAAATAATTTAGTCACGATTGTTCTATTCATTTACCAAAACAATTGTTCCGAATGTATGTAGTTACAAGTGATGTGTCAAGCTCAAAGAGTAATCTTTGGTAGGGAAACAAACAGCTGATACTTCAATAATAAACTACATTGTCTGAAACTTGGTTTGCATCGAACATGATAACGCGTGAGTAATTAAGGAATTAATCTCGATGAAATTTATTAAATTAAAATTATTATTCAATTATCAAATTACATCTGGAAATGATCAATCCTAAAAGAGACCTAAATGAACGACAGATTATCACGTAAACATCAGAATTGTCTTAATTTCAAATCAAGCGTGTACTGCAATTTTAAATCGTACAATTGAGTTACAATTAATGTGTGAATTCGCACGAGGCTACTTGTTGAATGCTCAGCGATGCGTGCGAGCGTTGATGGAAGAAATGAAGAAATAAACACGACAGATAAAGTGTTCAGCGTGAACAATCGAAACCGATGAGTCAACATTAAGGAACAATAATTTATCAATTCACCAAGTGGAATACTTCAGCAATTTCTTTAACAAGACAAAGAAATCTGGTACGATATCTATCTTAATCAGAAAATTGAGCGACTTGGAGAAAATTGTAGAAATCAATTAATATCAATAAGGGAAGGTCGAAGTTTACAAAGATCGTGAAAGTTGTCAGAGCTATCGCGAGAAGTTCAAAGCCTCTGGTGATTTGTTTAACGCGAAAGGGTTAGAAAAGTGACATGCTTCTTTAGAAAGGAAGTGTAGGAGGAATTTGAAACACTTCTTCTGCATGGATTGCTTTTTTTTAAGACATTGGACAGAAGTGTATGAAGATTTATTGTAATGGAAAAATAGTCGAGTTTCTGAGAAAACATTGAAAATTAATTATTTAATTTAGTATTAATATAAGGGGTACAGAAGTGACATGCTTCTGTAGAAAGGAAGTGTAGGAGGAATTTGAAACACTTCTTCTCCACGTATTGTTTTTTTTTAAGAAATTGGACAGAAGTCGAAGAAGTGTACGAAGATTTATTGTAATGGAGATATAATCGAGTTTATGAGAAAACAGTGAAAGTAATTAATTTAATAATATGAGGGTTAGAAAAGTGATATTTAACTTGACTCAAGTTACTTTTTGTAAAAGATTCATTAACACTTCTAGATTAATGTCAATAATGAGTAATGTTAACAAATGTCTCTAAATCCAAACTACTATTTGTCTAATTATATACATAGATAATTATGGACATTTATATGAATCTATATGAAGTCCATCAAGACTTTGACAGTCCGCAAATTAAATGTTTCAATTTAATTCGCGGAAGCTCAAAAAAGTATAAATTCATGAAAAGAATTCTCATTTTCAAGACATTCAAGTACACGTTTTCATTGAGATCTAAATTAATTCGATACTATGTTAATGAAAAGCCTTGACTCGATCGTTTAAAGAAGTGGGAATTTTTAACAAAAATTTCCCCATGCACAGTCAAACTACTATTTATCTAATCATATAGATAATTTATTCAAGTTACTTAAATTAAATGTTTGATCTTGTAAAGATCAAACAACTGGTATCCTTCATTTAAAGAGATAAACTCATGCAAAGAATTCAATTTTTCAATCAACAATTGTACTGGAAAGAAATGTCTCGAAATTGGGAAGGTCCCACTCCACGAAGGAAACATTAGTTCTCGAGAAAACAGAGAGAATCAATTACTTTCAATAAGTATCCTTCGTTCAAAGAGATAAACTCATGCAAAGAATTCACTTTTTCAATACAAAATTGTACTGGAAAAAAATGTCTCGAAATTGGGAAGGTCCCACTCAAATCAATTACTTTCAATAATACGAGGTCGAAGTTTACCAAGATAGTTCTCAGAGCCCGTTGTCGCAAGTTCAAAGCCCATTTCGGTGCTTTCTTTGACGCGGAAGGGTCAGAAGACCTCTCTTCGGCATAGAGGAAAGGGTTCGCGTCCCGTTTTTTCGTCGTGACGAGATCGACTGCGAGAAAATCAGAGAAAGATACGGATGGAGAGAGAGAGAGAGAGAGAGAGTGAGAGAGAGAGAGAGAGAGAGAGAGAGAGAGTGAGAGAGAGAGAGAGAGTTCACTAATGAACGAACAAAAAGAGGAAAGGAAGAGAGCGAATTCAAGTGGCTGATTGGATAAGATGCACCCGCGTATTTAATCGGTTCAGACGTTCCCGGGCTCCAAACTCGTGTAAATCGACTGTTTGCATGGTTCGGTATCAAAACGATTTTATTCGAGCATAAAATGTTAAATTAGCATTTGTGCGGTGAAATATATTTTCTAATGGTTCGAAATTAAATGAAAATATTCTTCAAACATATTTACTGGAAAAATGAGAAGTTGCTATTGGTGTATTTTTATTTAATTAGGGTAGAGATAGTTTAGACTTTTAGAGAAAAGGAAAAATAGATGTTTTGTAAGATATCAAGGAGAAAGGAGTAATCAGTTTTGTGTTTATATAATTTATTTCATTTAAGAAAATCAGTCATTGGTATGTTAGTTATTGTTGTTTAGTTTCAGTAAATGTTTTAACTTCTAGCCTGTTTTGTAAGAGTCTATAGCTTGGAAGAAAACTTTTAATATTAGTTTATATTAATCAGTTCATGGTTCATGGTATGTACTTATAGTATATACCTATAATACGTACTAAATATATATTAAATTATTATAACGAAATAATATAAAAATCTTCATGTGTTTTTAAATTTCGGGCAACATAAGTAAACAACATATATTATAATATATAGTACATACCTATAATATATACTATGTATATATACTATACTACTATAATAACACAATATCAAAAGTATCATTTGTTTCTAAATATTGAGCAATATAAGTAGGCAATCAACGATACAGTTAATAAATTCCTGAGAGGAAATGCTGATTTAAAAGGTCTATAAATAGGTCCCTGGTAATTAAAATGTTAATGAAAAAGGGAGAGCAAGATATTAATTAATACTTAATTTGCAAAGTGAATATAAAAATTACCCCTGGAAATTGTTAATTTTAAGACCTACATGGGAGACAGATTATCATATAAATATCGGAATTGCCTTAATCTCAATAAACGCGTATCCTGCAATTTTAAATCGTACAATTCAATTACAAGTAACCTAACTACATCGTTTCTGTTCTTTTTTGTTTGTTTTAGATATCGATATGAAGTGCTTTTAATGGAGGCAATAAATTTTATTGGTTGGTGGGTATATATAATTCTGCTTCGTAAATCACTCGTGGTTACTATAAAAAGATTGAATACGTGTAAGGTATACCTTGATTATTTCAGAGAGTGTTATTAAGCATAAACTGCACCTGTTGTAACAAGACTTGGGAATGCAGATAATGAAGCTGCAAGTGGTTCATGATTTCAATTGGACACGATGACTGATACCGAAAAAAGAAGGTGAGTATCTCATTACATTATCGGTTATGGATGTTTGGTAATAATTTATTAATATTCGCTATCAAATATACATTCATATTAGATGAGATTTACTGAATTATAAATTTCACTCGATAAATAAAAGTAGAGTTCACTTAACAAATAAACGTTGGTACATTTTATATAAGACAGTGTTTCAAGTTTAAAAAAGTAATCTTTATTTTGATAAGTAATATCAATAGAATATTAACTTTTAGGTTTCGAAGCAAATGCAATTTAATTTGGAGAAATTCTTTTCCTGTGTATAATGTTCTGTTATCGTCGTATGATTATGTATAATCCCAATTTTTATTATATTATGTTTATATTAATTCAAAATTTATTGTATTATATAAATAAATTAATAGTAATAATTCATATAAAAAGTATGAGTTATAATATATATATATATACTTCATTCATTTCTCAAGCGAATTTCAAGTAAACATTATATCAAGAGAAAGGATGTATACCAACTGAATTGAATTTGCTCTTGTAATTAAAAAACGGACATTGAAAGCAATAAGATATTGTAAATATATTGTCGCTATTAACAGCAGGTGTTTCTTAATGGCTTTGTTCGTCTTTTTTCCGAAGCGAGTTTGCACCATTTTGCATTTCACTTTCTGGAAACGTGCCACGACAGAAGACTACATAAATACGATAAAAACAAAAATTGGAAAAAAAGAGAAAGAATAAGAAATGGACGGTTCCGTAATAAACGGAACGGTTTTCGGTGTCGCGTTGGGAGGTGACAGTATGAAGCACTTTCCACGGCCAGTGACTATCACAGCAGCTGTTTGCGCAATCGTTTTCAGCATCGTCGGAGTGGCGGGTAAGATTATGATTTAATTTATATAATCGGTAACTTTCGGTTTTAATTTATATAATTATAGTACTCTCAGAAACATTGGACAGTGTAATGGAACTAACTAAATATACATATATAATGTTAGAATTCACGAAGTAAAATTGAAAGGGTAGTTTTAAATACAATGAAATCAAAAATGAAAATGAGATTGAATTAAAAATTCCACTTCGAGCAGAATTTGTTATATTCATAGTCATATATGTATATGAGATTTTGGTACGAGAATTTTATATTATTTGGCAAATATGGATAAAACTATTATCTAGATATAGATTTTGAATGACGAATATAAGATAAATAAACGTTCAATAAAAATTAGAATTTAAAGTGTAGAGTGCAATATTGCACAATGAATAAGTAAAAACATTTTAAAATTAAAAATTAATTTAAAGTTCAAAGTTTGGCACAATAGATTGCAAATAAATACAATGAAGTTCTGTGTCATATATATATATATATATATATATAATATTTATATATATATATATTTAAATAGTGAAATTTAAATAGTGAAGAAATAAAATGACGAACATTATTCAACCTGTCCTAAATGATACAGATGGGATACGACAATAATTATCTATCTCGAACGTTGATGATATGGAACAACATAGAACGAATGTAGATATCATGAATAATAATTGATATGTAGTTTCACTATCAAATTAAATTAAATTACAAAGTCAAAATCATGTGTAGGAGGATGTAGAAATTGTCGTTCAAAATTAATTGCACAAAAAGGACAACTTAGAAAAGATTAATATTATTTGGAATAAAAAATTGATATATAGTTCTTCTATCAAATTAAATTACAAAGTCAAAATCATCTATGAAAAGATACAAAGATTGTTAAAAATTAAATGCATATTAAATATATATAGTATATAGATATATAGTATATAGTTGATTTATAGCAAATAAATTGAAATGGAAATGTATTAGAAAAGATTCAATTAAGTTTGGAATTAAATTAGATTGGAAATGTGAGTAAATTACAAGATTAGAATTACATATAGGGAATGGAAAAAAATTCTTCTTTTAAGAAACTACGTTGATCGTATATGTTTCACTAATTTCAAGATGAATTACACACACGTTCCTGATCGCTGAATCCTTAATTAAACGTTTAAATTCTATGGTCATGTTCTTGTTGACCCATGGGTACCCTTCCCCGAGCTATGGCTATTAACGTATTTAATTTATGCGAGAGGGTGTTAAGAATTAGAATCATTAAATTCTTCTTTTTTAATCACCCACTTAGATGTGTTTCTTTTGGAGCACAGACACGCGATCGTTTCACAGCCATTTATGAAGCTTATGTTTATTACATTACTATTTAATTAAACACTGTCTATTAAATATTATTTCTTGTGTATATGGAACTTTAGTTTCGTCCTAGTTCCTTCATCACTGTATATTCTAAAAAAAAAAAAAAAAATGAAACCGTCTGTATTTAGAGAAAACAGTTTCATAAAAGAATTCCAATCATCTATTCACAGTTTTTCAATTATGTAAATCTCATTCTAAATTCATTTTAAAACTAATAGTTTCTTAGATAAATTTTTGATGTTTCTAATGTTAAGAAATATTAATAAGCTAATTCATTTTAAACCACAGGTAGTATAGTGTTTAAAAAAGTGATTATTAATATATATTTGCATGTTGTAATATTAAGACGAATTGTTATCATAATCAATAATTTTTTTATTATTATATTATTATCTTCATTTTCAGTAAGTAAAATAAAATGATACTTGAGAACAGAGATTCTTAACTGAATAATGAATAAAAGTAAACATAATAAAGATTATGAATAACATTAATTATTAGTAATAATCATTATTATGAAATGAAGAATAATTTGATCGTATTTAAAGATGTTTATTAAGCGTATGCTCATTAAAAAATTATTAATTATAAATAAATGGAAGCTTATGTCACTATCGGTATAATTATCCATTAAACGAATCTTTTTATTAATCTATTATTTGAATAAAATGCTGTCCATTTCTGCTCGAAATAGGGAATAACGTATAATCTCTACGATTTTTCTATGAATTGCAGGAAATTTAGTAACCGTAATCGCACTCCTAAAATACACAAGATTGAGGCGACATGCCACGACCGCATTCGTGATAAGTCTCAGCATTTCCGACTTGATTTTTTCTGCGGTGAATTTACCACTAACTGCGAGCAGATATTTAAACGAGGCGTGGGTGCTAGGCGAAACTCTATGCAAAATATTCCCGCTATTCTTTTATGGAAACGTCGCAGTGTCCTTGCTCAGCATGGTGGCGATTACCCTAAATCGGTATGCGATTTATAGTTTTTATAATTTAATTTAAATTATTTATTCATTGAAGTAAACCTCAAGGCTTACAATCTCATAATTCTTCAGGATTTTGTTTTTTTTAATATCAGAAATGGTAATTAATTAATTTTAATAATATACAAAGATTGTAATAGAGACGAGTATAGTTCAATGTTTAATATATATTTTGACTGCTGGTTTTGGCCCTCTTCGGTATAATAATTTATAAGCATGAAGCTAAAGAATGAACAACGTGTTTCTAAAAAAATTGTTATTGTAAGAACAACAAGGAAATTCTTTGAATAGTTGTAGCCAAAGCTTTAAAATAATATAGCAAGAACACTATGTAGGAAAATTTATTAAATAGGTAGACTTAAAAATGAACAAAATATTTGAAAGAAAAAACATTGGTACGATAAGTATTATACATAAAATTCTGTATATACATTGCAGATGCATTGTTTACATACTTAAACACAATGTTTACAACAAGAAGAACTACATAGACAAGAAATTTCTTTATATAATATTGCCTACTGTACTAATTTTCCTAAAATATTTTGTTCACCGTTAACATTTACTTTGTAAATTATTATGCCAAAGTGGGCCAAAATCAATGTTTGAAATATGTAATTAATATTAAACTAAATTTGTTTACATTGCGATAATTCACAATGTTACTCGAACGAGACAGCAATTTCAACGAAGTCTGTAATTCGTATTAATTGTTTACTTTCAAGTATGCTGACAAGATGCGTAATCAATTTACAAAGTCAGCACTCGCCAATGAAACTTAATCGGCTAATACTCGTCCTAATAGTATCAAATGTACTCCCGATAAATTCAGTAGCAATACGCAGCTCTCGGTGCTATCTTTAGCCATAGCCAATATCAAGCTGTTATACAGGGTGTTCATATTTTTGGCGGTGGATCACAAATAATTCAAAAACGAAAACTATGCAGGAGCTGGCTATTGACTGGTTATTGACTTCCTTCATTCAACAAATTCATTTAAACTTACTGATAGATCTGATCGAAGCGTACACATTTAGATTGTGTCAGATATGGATGTTCAATTAGTCATGAGAATTTTAATATAAATTTTTTATTTTTTGTCGATAATACAATATTTTTCAATACATGAATCTTCTATATAATTACATTAAATTCATCTGAAAACTAATTTTTAGTAATATTTCTAAAGAATAAAATAGTGTTTCTTCTTGCGTATTATATATTGATCTTCAGATGACCCTCTAAGGAGACATTCTCACAAAATTTACTGTTTACTTTTACTAGGTGTAGAAATGTTCAAAACACCCCTTACATTACCTCTTATATTTCACTAGTAAAGAAATTAGATTTTTCACTAATTCCAACGTTATTTTTTAGGTACATCCTGATCTCGAGATCAGACATATACGCCCAGCTATACACCACGCGGCGGATCATTCTGATGCTGATCGTCATTTGGACGATGAGCTTCTGCTTATTATTGCCGCCATTGATTGGCGTTTGGGGCACTCTGGGCCTGGAACCAAACACCTTCTCCTGCACCATTCTGAAGAAGAACGGCTCCAGTCCGAAGAAGTTCCTTTTCGTTCTTGGATTCATCGTGCCCTGCGTGGTCATCAGCGTCTCCTACCTGTGCATTTACTGGCGCGTCAGGAAGAGCAGGAAGAACCTGGAGGCCCACGCTGGCGCCTCGAGGAAGACAGCCAGCGGTTTTCGACGCAGAGAGGACTCCAGAGTCACCAGGTTGATGCTGACCATATTCCTCTGTTTCCTCCTGTGCTTCATGCCCTTGATGCTGGTCAACGTGGCCGACGACAAGATGAAGATCCCGATTCTGCACGTGATAGCCTCGATTCTAGCGTGGGCCTCGTCAGTGATCAATCCCTTCATCTACGCTGGCACTAATAAACTGTACAGGGAGGCCTACAAGCAGATTTTGTGCCCAGTTTCCAGCAAAACGCCGACCACTGGACCAAAACCAACGCACTCGCATTCCAGTAAAGTCTCGTCGCCGCAGATGACTTGAGAAATGATTGTACGATAGTTTGTGGGTGATGTTACTCGCATTGGAAGTGCTCGAGTTGTTATCTGAATTGAAGTGATAGTTAATGGGTCTCTATTGCTATGGTGTAAAATACTAAGTGCAGTAACTTAGTTTTGGAATGTATGGACTGGTTCATTAGGAAGAAAGCGACTTAGTATCTTCGATATTTTTAATGCTGGAAAATGTTCTTGTATGTATGTATGTATGTATGTATTTTTATTTGTTCTGCATGGGATTTCAACTCCAACTTCCTCCTCCTGCTTTTACACTTCCCCTGCATTTCCCATTCTGAATTAATCCTTTTAGTTGCTTAGTGTAAAGCCCTGTTAACCCATACATGGGTCCTCTTTTTAGTAGATCACCCTATGTACTATAAATATCATCTTTGTCGAAGATGTGACTGAAATTCCATGTAGCTTCGATTACTGAAGTCTGTTAAATTGTTAAGTAAATATGCCTAATATTTTAATCATAGCAACGACAGGAAGATTTTTAAGAAAATTCTATATCAATACCGATATGTAGTAAGATTAAGCATTCGATCTATAGGACTGGTTATTATCAAATGATTCGATGTTAGAATTAGACTATTACTCTCCCTTCAAAGTACGTGGCGATTTGATCAACATTTACTTCAATAAATGATAAACACAAATGCCGATAGATAAGTGTACAAAGAATAAAATCTTTCAGTTAAGATTGATGTAAATATATTATAGAAAATAAATTATGATTAATAAATGACGACATTTATGATATAATGTGGTTTTAACATCTACACCTTCTAACAATATCGGGAAAAAATGAGGCCTAAATTAGATACGTACCAGAGTTTCGTCGTGCCACCCCTTCGAATATCATGTTCTCCTGATACCAAAATGTAAAATTCAAGCCAGAATTTGATACGTACCCGGTATTCCTCGTGCCACCTCTTCGCATATCATGTTCTCCTGATACCAAAATGTAAAATCGGCCAGAATTTCGATACGTACCCAAAATTAGCCCCTTGAATTAGGCAACCTATACTTACAGA